CAAAAAAAAAGAGCATCGGGTTGAATTAATTACCTGACCAATAATATAAAATTATAGTATGAACTGAACTAGTTTAAATTATTAGATTAGGAATAAAAATATAAAAATTCTATATTAGAAAATGAATAAGAATAATCTTTTCATTTTAGTATCAATTCTAATAAATAATAAAACGCAATATTACACAACACTTTTAATTTAAATTTTTAACTTAACTTTTTCCTTTTTCTCTGTTTGGTCACTATAATTTACTTTATCATAAAAGTAATTAGAAAAGTAATTAGAAAAGTAATTGCTAAATCCATTTTCCATGTAATTGTAATTAAATTAATATAATTCCTTTTTTAAAGAATATACTTTGTAATTGTAATTAGTTCCTTTTTTTTAAAAAGTAATTTGTAATTGTAACTATTTTTAAATTACAAGTAATTACCCAGCTCTGTTAGTTATTCCACTCTGTGAGAAGTTTATCTTAAATTTTAAAAATATTAATTCTACAATGGTTTGAAGCTTGGATATTTATAAGTTTTTTATACAGGGTGTCTGCGAATGGTTGGGAAATCTCAAAGCTAATACAAACTGCTAATGCAAGCAATGCCAAAATAAGTCAAAAATTCCTATTTGTCAGGCCAAAAAACATAATAGTGTCAATTTTCTTGTTCACTCTGACAGTTTTCAAAATTACTGAGAAATTTCAAACGTCCTGTATCTTTGGAACTAGCAACATTTACATAAGGCAAGCATTTTGGTCGCCAGTATCTTCAGCTTCGAGATTCCCCAACCTTCCACAGACACCCTGTATAGAGCGTTAAGGTTTTAACTTTTTTATTTGTGATTTCAATATTCAAATTTGGCAAGCACTGGAAATGCTTAAAATTCTTGTAATAACTCTATTATTTCGTCATCTTCATTTCAAATGTTTCTTTCGAAGATTTTTAAATTGAAATCGGAACTTAAATGTGTAACTTATAGCTTGTATATAAAAATGATCGCCACGGTAGAGCAGTCGGTCGAGAGTGCGGTGGCAAGCATTTCTCGGCCAGACTTCCTAATCTGGTCCGGGTTCGATCCCTGGATTTGGATTTGTCTCATTTCTGTGGTTTGTGTTTTTTAAGTTAATGAAATTTGAGATAATAGGATTTTAAATGTTGTTAAACAAGGCTGCGTAGTAACTGGTGTTCCAAAAAATAGCTTACAGAAATAATTGCTGCCTAGCTATGGTTTGCCAACAAGTATATATAGAAGGTTTAAAGGTAAAAAATAGATATGCGTCTTTTCTTAACAGGTTCCATCTGTGTTTTGAATCAATCTGAAATTTATTTTTATTATGAGACAAAATAATTCTGTTTTTATTTAGTTTGAAATTTAGCATGTTCAGTACAAGGCAGTACATACAGGAATTCATAATTTTATAGTGAAAGAAACACATAAACTGATTTACTCTTCATTTGCTGGAAATTTATTGGAATATAAAAAAAATTATAGTTCCAAATTTCATATTGTATTGTATATTAAATGAAATAATGTTTATTACTTTCATTACGAATTTTTTCTTATTAAATTGTTATTGTTTAAATGCCCTGCTTACTTAGAAAATTTTGTAATTTTAATGTTTCAAGCTCTAGCAATTTTTGAAATTTTAGATTTTTCTCTTAGTGAAACCGCGTTTCTGAAGAAAATACAGTATTTAGATATTAAGAATATAGATACATAATATTTTCTTTTCTTTAATTTGTTTTTTTTTTGTCTAACCATTCTATTTCCAAAAATAATTGGACATTTATTCGATGTAATACAATAATCTGAAGTTGTTTCAACGTGTAGCACTATACTTAAAATGCATAGTTCGTCTTTTATATAAAATATGTTTCCGGTTGGCCGTTGTTCCTAAAATTAATAGCCCTTGTGTCAAGGACACGGAAAAACTCCACTGGCTAGCACGCACTCACCGAATTATTGCTTGCCATTATTCTAAATCCATTTTCCTTTTAACAGGTTAGCGTCGAGGAGTGGGCATCGATGTGGGATGAATACTCGAAGAACCCCGAAAACGCCCTAGAATGGCAAACGCTGTACTTGCGGTTCATGTTTGACCTGGAAGATGCCAGCGGTGACGGCAGCATTGATGTCAACGAATTTACCAGCGTGTGTTCCTGTTACGGACTCGAGGCATCCGAATGCAAGGAGGCTTTCCAGAAGATGGCTCAAGTAAGTATAAAATATTCTAAACGTTGCTGTACTCGAACATAGTGTTACTGTATTTAGTGGTTAAAAAAATAAGGTTAAACAGTATGTACACAATTGAGTCCTGAAGAGACATTTTTATTTATTAATATTTGAGAAAGTGTCATAAAATTGCTTAAACTTCTGAAGATATTAATATTCTTGACTTTGTATATAAAAAAGAATAGAAATTATCAGGATCATCTAAAAGTAAAACTGAGATATTAGGAATTCCAAGAGGGTGTTTTGGGGCGAAACATAAAAACTATTCATTTGTCAGATCAGGTAGATGACTTAAATACATGATTCTCGTAATTAAGTCATAAATAACTTAATAAATAAAAATTACTTCGAACCCATTTATATTGGATCAAGGTTTGTAGGAGGTCATCAAATTTCAGCATTTTGCTGATTTATTATTATGTCATGCCCAAATAACGATATGTAAATTATTATTTACACACTTTCTTCGATTATTTTATAGACATCTAAATCTCCCCCCAAAAAAGCATATTTGATCTTCCAAAAAAATTAGAATTTATTCATTTTCTTTTAAACAAACATAGCACAGATCCAAATTTTGTTAAGAACATTCTACATACCAATGAAACAACTTTTATTTGGGGAAAGTCATTATTAGGTACGGAAAATTTGCGTATTGCAAGTCACAGCAAGAATTTAAATTTTAAACGTCTGGTGTGGTAATACTAGTGATGAATTATTCGAACAATTCTTCCAAATTTAGTTCAATTTTTCTCTTTTTTCTCCTTTTCTTTCTTGGCTGATATAATAGACAATTTCGCGCTAGACACGCGAGGCAAAATATAATTTTTGTAGGATGAGGCTGCACGTCATTTTCCCCTTGCAGTCAGATGTCACCAACTTATTTTAACAAGTGGATCGGTCCAGAAAATGAATTTGCTTGGGCCTCAAGAACTCGTGTATTATATCACTTAGATTATTATGGCGGGGATATTATAAAGTCCTTATAGTCTACGAAATACAGTTAATTAGAGTTTATAAATAAATAAATAAATATATAATTATCTATTTGGCAGTGCTATTCCATGTTAAATTTACAGAAAATTACAAAACAGTTTGCAAATAAACAAAATATTTTGTGCGAATATAATTCCATTAAATTTTTTATAATCATATTTATATTTACATAATTCTTAATTCCCTCCAGTAGCGAAATTAAAAATCCGTCCCCAAACATCTGTTTTTGCAAATAATTTGTTCTTGAAAATGTTATACTGGGTGTTTCAAAAAACGTTCCGCTAATTTCTAGGGTAAATAGAATATTAAAATATAATGTTAGTTTGGTTAATAAACGTGTCCGAAAATGCCTCCTTCAGAAGATACGGCTCTGTAAAAGGGGCCCCAAAAATTCTTTTTTTTTTTGATAGCTAAATGAAATTTAGATCACAAATAGGTTTGATTAGGTCTTGAAAGTTACTGCTGACAAACTTTTAATATTTTGTACAGGACCATCCCTGGAGGGGGGGTGCCACTTATTTTGCCCCCAAACTTCTTTTTACGGGGACATTTTTAATATTTTGGCAAAAAATAATATTTTTTTAACAATTTGCCATAAAAAAGGTACTCCTGCTTAAAGTAAAAAAAATTACCGGTTTTGGAGTTATTTGAAGTTTTAACTTGTTTTACCTAAAATAAGAAAATAATTTGGTTTACTTTTATTAAGTAGGCTTAGACTGCAGATTTTTCTTGTTTGACAGATTGGTTTGACACATTGTTGTTGATAGGTTTGGTTTGTTTAACAAGTAATAACGCTTTTAAAAACTTTGAAAATGAATGTGTACACTAATAGTGACTATACCGATATGTTGTTAACATTAGGGGAATGTAATGGTAATGCTAAAGCGGCGAAAATAAGACATGCGTAAAAATTTCCAGAAAGAACTGTTCCGGATGCAAAAACATTTTTGAATTTAGAAAGAAGATGCCGTGATACTGGAACCTTTAAACCAAAAAAGGTAAATTCTGGAAGACATCGAGTGGCAAGAATTCCTCAAACAGAAGAAAATATTTTAAATGTAGTTGTTGCGGATCCTACGATAAGTGTAAGAAATATGGCAAGGGCAAGTAACACAAGTATTTCTAGTGTACACCGTGTATTAAAAGAACAATTATTGCACCCATTTCTGATTTTTCCTGATTTTTTACAAAATATTCTTTTCACCGATGAATCAACCGCCTTGTTGCCTACCATATTTTTGATGGAAATTTAAATGGTGATGTTTACTATGAATTTTTTGATAATAATCGTTTATTTCCGCTATTAGAAGATTTGCCTCTTGATCTAAGAAGAAATATGTTTTTTATGTATCCTCACCTCATTTTAGTTTACAAGTTAGAAGATGGCTTAACGAACATTTCCCAAATCGTTGGATTAGTCGGGGTGCCGATGCTCCTATCCACTGGCCACCACAGTCCCCTGACCTAAATCCCTTGGATTTTGTTGTGTGGAGTTTAGTTAAAGAAAAAGTATATTCCAGCGAAATAAATTCCATTGAAGAACTTCAAGCGAGAGTTGAAAATAATTTAAGAATGTTAATTCAAGTACCACAGCCACTTCAAAGAATTATGTTTTCCCTAGAAAAACGTTTAAGATTATGTATTCGGGAACATGGTGGATATTTCGAACATTTAATGTAAAAATCCATACCTACTTATTCAATATTTTTCTGTTTGTTTTGTGTTATTTGTTGTTTTTTTAATAGCTTCCTTTGTTTATTCTGTGTACGTGTCATGCAATTAAAACCTCTTTTAAGCTCAAAATAATTTGCTCTAATTTATACTTGTTGTTTCTGAAACAGTCGTTATTCCCTGCGTTTATTTATTATCATTATTTTATTTTTATTAATTCGGTCAGCATTACTTGCTAAAACCTCAAATAACTCCAAAACCGGTAATTTTTTTGACTTTAAGCAAGAGTATTTCTTTTATGGCAAAATGTTAAAAAAATATTATTTTTTACCAAAATATTAAAAATGTCCCCGTAAAAAAAAAGTTTGGGGGCAAAATAAGTGGCACCCCCCTCCAGGGACGATCCTGTACAAAATATTAAAAGTTTGTCAGCAGTAACTTTCAAGACCTAATTAAACCTATTTGTGGTCTAAACTTCATTTAGCTATCTTAAACCGCATCAGAGATAATTTAAAAAAAAATATAATTTTTGGGGCCCCTTTACAGAGCCGTATTTACCAAACTAACATTATTTTTTAATATTCTATTTACCCTAGAAATTAGCGGAACGTTTTTTGAAACACCCAGTATTATAATATTTTATCCAGATACGATACTAGATACTTTGGTAATATATTTTTACGCATTTTTATATATTAATACCAAATTAGCCTTTTCAATTTGGTTCCAAATAGGAATCCACTGTAAAGTTTCCAAAATTAAATCAATTGATATATATCTCAATATAATTCTCAATATAAAATTCAGAATGCAAGTAATATCGTTAGAGGACAGTCAGTCAAATGTATTAGTAGATCTAAGGAAATCTCTTACCAAGAGAATTAGAAATGCATTGAAATAGGTATATGTCGAAAATTTTCTATAAGTTGTTAATAATTAATTTAATTAATTTAAACATGGAAAGAGGGTCTGTGCAAGGGCTAAGTTGTTTTTATTGTTGTTGTGTTCTATACTTTTTCCAATAAATACTCTCTTCTTATACGTTTTCTTCTAAAGTTACTGATTTTGAAAATAAACTAAAATAGAATATTTCAAGTTAAGCGTAAACAAAAATCTTTTAAGGCAGTTTTATCGAAATCCGCAGGAGTTATCAGCTTTACTAAGTGTACCTTTTTCGCATGAAAATAATAAAACGTTTCTTTAATAAAAAAGGAACCCAGTATCATTTTCAATAGCAACATTTTACCAAGACAGCTAAATTTTCATATTTTCATTAATGGTTCATCCTGTATAAATTTTGTAAGTAAAGAAATAAAACGCCAATCAATCTAGGAAAGAGTAAGTAGGTATGTAATGTAAGTAATTATGAAAAAAGTTATGTCGGATCTAGAAAAGAATTTTGATTACAAAAAAAAAGTTGCTCGTGGAGGGTTTTTATTACTCCTTTTTATCGAATGCCCAATTCTTCAGAGCTTGTATTGACATCATCTTCTACTAGACTCAGAATATTTTCCACTTCTAAACCTTGTCAACGAGCTCGTTCAGATGGTACTATATGGCACTGGGAAACTTTCCAGTTTCGCACAGTTTGTTGAAAACTGTAATCCTTTGACGATATTCTTCAACGGCAGCATTAGCATTTACATTACAAAAGCCATAAACAAGCACCATATTTGCATACTCTAAATTAGAATATGTTCTTGATATTTTGTAACACTTTGATCGTACAAACGTGTAATAAAATGTTAAACCATTGTAATATAAATTGACACTGACAAATATCCTACTTTTGAACTTGGATTTCAAATTTTAAAATTTTTGTAATAATTACGCTATAACATGAAAATAAATGAAAATCGCATAACAACATTTGAGTTTTTTCTTATTATTTTGATGTGTAGAAGCCATTCCTGGAGTGTGGTGCGATCCTCCCGAATCACCCTGTAGATATATGCTAGCTCACATATTTTATCCAAAATAGTTCCACTTATCTCCACTGGATTAGAGGAAAGAAAACTTGTATCTTCAATTATTTCTGTTACTTTATATGAAACGCCCTGCGGAATCGCACACATATAGTTACTTGTGGTTTTGTTCTGGTTTATATGAACAATGTTTCATACTTTTCCGTGACATTATGACTAGTCTCTAGTTCAAAAACACTCTATATAAGCAGACAGTACAGACGCGCAAAAGGGAAAACAACAATATAACTTGTAGTGGAAGACGAGAGGGAACGAAATGTGTCTTCTGTAACGACACAATAAAATTCTTATTTTAGCCGAACTGTTATTGTAGACAGTTTTTAGTGGTTGAAGCGCAGACACCCCGCAATAAAAGGTAATAAATCGGAGATATATTGGTGATTATATGATGAACTTTATGATGCAACATTAAATCTTCTTCTTATTTCTCGATCAAAAATATTTCTCTTAAAATTTAGCATACTTTATTATTTATCAAACTCACAAGTTTATCGTTGCCACTGAAATTCACAATTTCTAAACAGTTATGTTGTTACGCTTTACAAATTTTTAATATAACTGGTCTGAGGTAGTAAGATTGGTTTGTATTTCTAAATGTAATTTAGTTGTCTTGAAATTAGTAGGTATTTATAAGAACGTAATGTACCAATTTTCCTTTATTTAATACACATTTTTATACACGGAGTTTACAACATTGACAACTCACAGTAACAAATAATTTATAGTCGAAGACAAATAGAGTAAAATGCTCTCATCTTTTGAAATTGTTTAATGCGATGGAAAATATAATTATTCAGTTTTTTTAAATTTCCCTGTTATCTTAAAGGCACTTAGTAAATAAATTAGACGTCTTCCAAAACACTATTATGAGATAAAAATCTATCAGTATGCTAACAAATATTGAAAGATGTATTTTCATTTTTCAAAAACTTAATCGAAACTCACATTTTGTCAGTCGTCTCTATTTAAACCGTCGTAATACCTTCCTAGTAAAAGAGACAGGAATCTTCTGATGGGTTATGTTAAAAATAATATCAGTCTTCGCTATCCTTTAGTTGTTGTTTATTGCCGGAAACTTATTCTAATAATGCAAGCAAAGCCACAGTTATAACAACATATTTCATGTTTCTGGGATGTATCTAAAATAAGTAAATCCATATTCGCATTCTTATTATCTGACAGCTATTAAAACGTTAGCAGTTTAATAAATAATTAATCGCATGTTACACTAGTATCAAAACAATTAATATGTTTCCGTTTTGGTTATTTTTAGTTTAAACAATAAGGCACCTGATAGAGTTGACTGTAACATAATTGGTATTGATTGCAATTAAAATTGATTTTCTCATTTGAATTGTTAATAACTATTCAGATTGTTGTCAACTGAAATGAACAAGTAAATACAAATATAAACAGTTACAAATACATACGAATACAATTCTTTAAAACATCTCTCAAGGAGCTGCAAACGAAGTTATCAATAACATTGATGCAGTAATTAGAAAAGTTCCAAAATAATTTAAGATGCACACTAAAGCTGATGGAATTCCCAATAAACAGAATTTGAATATGATCAATACATTTCTTGTGAGAAACATTACCACTTCATTTATACCAACTCTGATTCTGATTGACTATTCCTAAAAATATTTGCACTTATTTCTTATCAGGTTATATTTCTATATTTTTAATACTGTAATTTTGTCCCACTTTTGGATTTTTGTTATTTATTTTGCTAATTGCAGTTATTGCTACAAGATTTGTTACAATCTACTAACTCTTATAACTACACCTTGATCGACCCAGTGTCAAATGTAACAAATGAAACTATTAGTTAAATATATTTTTTTAATTTTTTTTTCCATCTATCTGATTCAATATCAAATTTAAATCTTATTAGCATACTTTAAACTTAGTAGTAAGTTTAATCTCAACAAAGAGCTTAATTTTACATTAAACAACATTACAATTACGTAATATCTGCTGAACATCACATAACGTCAGAATCTTTAGCAGTATTGAGGAAAGAAAAGTGTGTCGAAAAGAGATACCTATGCTTGTGTACCCAAATTTTTTTTCGTAGGACACCTTTCCGAATCCTTTTATATATATTTTCCTTATCCAGTATTAAAGACAGACCTATCAATCTCTATATCAGTGAGAATCAATCAATCAGATTTTTTTATGTTGGTAATCAAAGTTATACTCCGCGGTCGAAATTATAGAGAGTGACTCATCGCTAGCTTTTGGACTAGTAAGGGGGATGAAGCGTGCCGGGAACGAAAATCCATTGGCGTGTCTACGTAAAAGGCAACAAGATATAGAAAATATTGAAAAAAGATAATAAAACATAACATCTAATATTTTTTTACAGTTTGCTATAACCGGCACTTTGTTCCATTTTAATTATTACAGCATTTTAAAACGTCCTAGTTGTGTTTTTTTAATTTATTTAATTTATAAATTTATTATGGCCATGGAATTAGACCCCTCGTCTACGCTTATGCTGTGACATTTCTCAGGACGGGTAAATCAAGTCCGTTTACACCCACTAAAAAAGCATTTCCCTACTCCTTACCAAGTGCAAAAAACATGGACAGGATATAGATCGACGTTCAGTGTAACTCAGTCTATAGACGATTTATAGATTCTATCGATGTGCGTAGCGAGCGGCACAAAGATAAATAATATTGAACCGTTATAAAAATCATTTTATATTTTCTACGCATTATAGTGATAGTTTATATTATGTCTGAGTCACTCTCTATAATTTCGACCGCGGAGTATAGAGTAATCATCATTTGTATTACTGTATTTCTAAAAATGTTATTTTCGAAAGTTAAATGCTTAATAATTTTCCTAATTTTGTCTCTTTTAACGTTACGAAATCAAAATAGGTGTAGTATCTTTGATGCTACGTCAAAAAAAATCAGAGTACCAGTATGCAGCAAAAACATAAAATATGGATTTTATGTTTTTATTTTGTAACTACTATTGATAGGTTTTACAGAAGCTCAAAACTGTGTAACTTTACCCCATTATATTCACATTGTATCATGAAATTTTCTTTGGCAGTTTTTTATATCAGTACAACTATAAAATAAACATAAAACAGTTTCAAAATATTCTTATTTGTATTATTTGCTTTCTAATATTGATTTGCTTTTGTTTTCAGGGAAAAGCAGAAGTTAACTACGATCAGTTCGTTGCTCTTTGGAAGCAATTTTTCACTTCGGAAAATCCCTCCGACCCAGGCAACTACATTTTCGGAAAAACTAAATTTTAAATAGTATCTACATGTAGAGGCAACCAACCTAAACCAATGAAAATTTTTGTATCTATCTTCTATTACTCCATTACATATAATATATGGAATATATAAGTAATATATAAATAATATATGAATAACTTAATTTGTTAAATATAATTATGTTATTCTTACATATCCTATAGGTAATACAAAAATTAATAGTTCTACTTTACAAATTTAAGAAAAGTGCAACATTCAATAGTTTTTATTTGACATTTATATAATTTTTATATTACTTTTATTATATCTATTTGATATATTAGTTAGGTATATCTGTAGTATACTATAAAAATTTTTAATGTATAGATACTATGCTAGTCAATTATCAAAACGCTAGTAAATCTAGAATTTTCAAGTACTATTCCAAAAAAAAGATTAAAGATATTAACAGAAGAATAAGATTTATAGAAATTTGCAAAAAAAAAACTAGTAAAATTTATTTTGTACAAAATCTATAACTAATACCTACATAAAATTTTTTAATCGCGCCTCGAGTATGCTTTGGTTAATTTTTTTTACAAATTTTCGTTGATGTTGCAATATTTTCTTAAAGATTTTTTAATAAACGCAATGCTCACCTTGTACTTAAAATGAGCCGGTTATTTTATCAAAAACAACTGAATATTAGATGTAGCTTATAATAAACGACTTTTATGAAAGTATCGACAATATTTGTACTACCGGTAAATTTTAAGCACTTTTCATGTCTTATATTTTTACCTATAAAATGTATTATCTTCGGTAAATGTGAATATGTGTAAGTACGGTGGAAGTATATATTAATAAATGGGTTAGATAGATTATTGTAAAATGTGCAGTTTTATTCCATTACCAGAAACTTGTCTATCTCCTTCATAAATCAATTATATTTACGTTTTCCCTATAAATGTTTATCATATTTTTTTCATTTTGTTTTCAAAAAATTTGATTAAAATATGTAAAGGAAGTATTTTTTTATTTATTGTTTTTTTTATCATTTTATAGGTTTATAGGCCTCTGAAATATGTAAGTACATATTTCAGAGACTACTTCGATTTTAATTTTGAAAATTTGGGCAATAGTACCTAGGTTTTTATCAGATCACCTACGGTCTGCCGTAACTAAGAGAAATTATTGAAAAAACATAGATATTATATTTGCAGTAAATAAAAAAAGACATTTCGGTGAAACCTCATCATTATCTAATCAGTTACAGTAACAAGAAGGGTTTAGAATATATTATTTATGTTGAGAAGAAACCACGTACATCATCAACATAAATGTTCCATTTAAAAAAAATAAGTTAAGATGGATTAAAGTTGACTAAATTCAGCATTATATTTCAACCACCCATGAAATTAAGTCACTTTGAAATTATGGCAGGGAAGCTTAGAGTTTTAGTTATGTGCTCTATAAATTTTATCGCTCTAACTTTATTATTGTAAAATACACAACATTTTGAATTAGGCAGTGCTTTTTTAATTTTTTTTTGAAAAAAATTAAACATCAAAAACGGTTATCAATATATGTTCCATTTAAAAAAATAAGTTAAGATGGTTTAAAGTTGACTAAATTCGGCATTAAATTTCTACCAACCTCTGTATGAAATTAAGTCACTGAAATTATGGCAGGGAAGCTTAGAGTTTTAGTTATGTCCCCCATAAATTTTATCGCTCTAACTTTATTATTGTAAAATACTTAACTTTTTGAATTAGGTAGTGCTTTTTTATTTATTTATTTTTTTTTGAAAAAAATTAAGTATATCAAAAACGGTTAACTTTAAGAATAAGAAACCTTTATGAAAGTTCACCTAAAAATTGACGTAGAATCCAAAATAACGAAGATGACGTCAACTTCCGGTATAACCGGAAGCGTTCAAAATTAAAATCGAAGTAGTCTCTGAAATATGTCTAATGTCTCATCACCGTGGGACACCCTGTATGATAACGTAGATACTAGAGGCAAATTCGGCATTAACATCTGGATTCTGGATGACGTAGAGACTTTTTTAATTGCAACAAATGAAAAGATAAAGAGATATATCTAGTATCTAGAAATCCACAATAAATTCTTTGATTTTGATAGATGCATATAGAATTTTAGTATGCGATGCATCAATAGTGTATTATTTGTATTGGCGTTCCATTGCTATTAAATCCAGTGTCTCGTAGTTTTACATTTTAAACCACTTTCAACCATTTTTGGCGGTGCCACCTATACCGTACCGTAAGACAACTACAAAATTGCAGAAGTCTATTTAATGAAAATTGTTCATTTTTCCAGGATAAAGAGAGCTCTATCACAATGAAGTTATCCATTCTCTGCATCTGTCGAATCAGTCTCGACATCATTACTTCGTGGAATTCCAATGAAACATGAAAAACAAAAGTAATTCTGTTATGTACTGACTTTATTTTATAAACACTTTATTCTTACGTAACATTTTATATCGAATTTCACCAAAGCAAACCACCCTATTATAGCAGTTGATTTCATATAAATGAAAAATAAAGAAAAAATAATCATTAAGATTAAGAGAAGTCCGAAAGAAGTCAACTGTAAAAAAAATTGAAATTGAAGATTTTACTCAAATTCGCATTTGTTTAAATGAAAAATATACAGAGAGATCGATTTTTTTCATAATTAGGTTCCTCCAATTGTAGAAAATTAGGACAAAATCGTTTCCTTTCATCTCCACAACCAGTTGCTAACAATCCAGGAGAGACTTTTCCTCGTTGATAAGCATTCTACAAAAAAATCAAAAGGTATTTACGAGAGCTTCAACTGGAAAAAATCCATGCAAATGTAAAAATGAAACTTGTCTTTATCAAGTAACATTTTTTTTGACAGATTTCAGCGCCACTAGTTTCACTTTTGTGAAAGTCGTTTGGCAATGCCTCTAGAAGTATCATAATATTCTGACTTATTGAACTGAATATTACATTTTTAATCTGGTACCCATTTCAGTATTCTGTTACCTTGTTCAGCCACGCTATGATTTTCTTTTCTCGCAATGCATGATGATACTTAAGGAAGCAGTAATCAAATGCTCCCTAATGTGGCACTCTCCCTGATATGTCTAGTTTTTTTCTAAAATTTTATGTAAAAGGAACAAGACTTATTGAACTCGGAGACCTTTGTTTCCACTCATTTGACTTTGAACTTCTCCTAAAAATCTTGCGAAACTTGTATGTATAACTCAGGTCTGTTCTAAAGTATTACTAGATAAAGCCTGCTACACACTTGGAGATTTGTATCGAGATACCATCTCGCGACATCGTATCGTGAGGTTGACATACACTGCAATATATATCATGAACAAGTACAAAGTTACATACTGCACCAAGATGCTTCTTTCGGTAAAAGAAATATTTACCATGAGTGTTATTATTGGTGTTTCTTAATTAAGAAGAAAAGAAGAAGAAAAATTTGGTGCAAAAAGTGTTTAATGGAAAAGGAAATGTCTCCCGTCGTTTACGGGATACAAAGACCTGCATCGAGACAATATGAAACCATTTGAAGCGAATCTCCAGACGGTGAGACGGTATCGCGACTCAAATCTCCAAGTCTGTAGCAGGCTTAAACACAATCTGATCCCTCAATGATTCGATAAACTTCGCCAATTGATATTTTTCATTCAAGTTATAGGTGGAAGTAGCTACTACTAGGAAATTACACTGTTTCAAGTTTAAATTCTACGTTTTCAATAGTTGTCAAATGATTCATAAAAATCTGTTTTGTTTCAACGTCATAGAGTCCTTAAGGATCATTTTAGAAAAAATATAACTCTATTTTTTGTTTGTTTAATCAGTAGAATCAGCCATGAAAGCTTATCATAACATCGGTGTTACAAAACATAATATGGAAAGAACATGTTCTTTTTTAACATTAGCAATTGAATTGTTTTGTAGAAATGTTCTAAGAAATGATATTTCAGATAGATACTCGAGCAAAAGATTAATAAAGAAAATAGACCATAACTTCAAGATTGGAGAAAGGTCTGCACCACTGTAGAAAAACATACAGGTTATGTTTGAGAATATCAAGAAAACTTTATACTAGTCAATTTAATATGTACTGGAATTTAACTAGAAATAAAATTATCATCGCATAAACTTGAAGAATGCTCCTACACATAAAAACATTTAAAAAGAGTTCATATAAACGTGGGTCTCAAAATGATTAACAAGGAAACTGTTCAAAGATGGCCACTACCATGGGTTTTTGTGTTATATACTTTCTGACATTTTCTTTTATTTTGATTCAGCGTCATTTCGGTTTATTAAATCACAGGACTTACATTACATCAGGTTTTTCTGGAAGAAAACAATTACATTGGTGAATTTCAGAGGAATATTTTTTTACATAAATAATTACACTGTATCAAAATTTAAAGAAATGTTAAAAAAAAGTTTTGTATTATAAAAAAATTGACTGAATAATCCCAATCACCCCCAGTCAGCATATCCATGATTAAAATTGGAAGTAACTGCTTACTTCAAAAAATAAATTTTATTGTCAATAATCTGTCTAAATTAAAATTCATGTCCATATCTAAAACGATTCTAGAGGTACAAACCAATGGCTATAGCTTGCACGTTTCCATGTGCAGAATTATTCCTTTAGTTTAGGCATAAGTTTGTTGTATTTAACTAATTACAATCTACATTCATATTTTCAACAATCCTGTTTAATACACTCTCTCTGGTTTTGTTGTTTCTGTATATTGAAGTTTATAGTTCATGAAAATGAACATTCTTTATAAAACTTACACATTGTGGTATGATTAAATTCATTTAAATGAAATTTTAAAGGCAGGCAAAAGCAAGGCTTCCGAAAAATAGATAGATGATCGTTCAATTTCCTTGCCAGACAACATGCATCGCATTTGCCTTACTGCATTAAAAATGTTGTAGGCATAATAATAGTTTTCTTATGTATGGGTAAAACTCACCGTGTGAACTTATATTTTATCCTTTGAATAAATCATATCAAATCATATTATGGTTATTGCCATTTATATTTGTATCGTTGCCACAGCTACCTGTAACGTCTAATTTTAACAATCCATGTGTCACTGTCAAAACTGTATCATGTAATCTGAAAATGAACATTCTCAGAAAAAATATTATTTGCCGTAGGTACGTTACTACACCTTACTTGTTCCACATAATAAGAAGAACCAATTATGATGCCACGAGAGAAAATTTAATGTTAACAAATGAGAGTAGAGTGGTATGTCAGGGATTCACTGGGAATGCAGGTACATTGCACAGCAAATTGTGCATGGAATACGGCACTAAAATGGTTGGTGGAGTAAATCCCAAGAAAGGGGGCCAGCAACATCTTGGTTTACCCGTTTTTACTACCATAAAGGAAGCTAAGGAGAAAGCTGATCCCCACGCGTCTGTTATATTTGTGCCTCCCCCATCTGCTGCACAGGTATATCATTAATATTTCCAAGTATCTGCTCACTATATTTGACAAATATATACTAACTACTAATCAAGGTGCTATATCTAATTTAAGCATATTAGTAATCATAAAACAAAAATATCTGTACTCATAAGTGCGAGTGTATTCCTTTAAGAAATTATGGCATAATTGAAATGATTTGAAAATTCTAGCATATCTCTTATTTACATGTTTTGATCTTTTAAATCGTAAATAATCCTAACTTTAGGTACATATTGCAAATATAGATTGTAGGTGAAATTCATTATCATCAAATATGGATCTACTACGTATTTCGATAAAACTAGAGTTCTTCATCTAACCTTATGCCTCTAACTATATTTCACAGATTTGACAGCGGCTCTTTCACAAAGCTGTCCACTTCCGGCTTTTCTTTTCCGATAACACCCTTGTTCGGCCCTGTCTTCTCTTCCTCCTGGTAGAACCTACAAGGACCATCTTCCTCCAAGTCAATGTTTTTGATGAGTCTGCAACATTCTATTAGAGGTCCTATCTTATTAATCTGAGACTTTGGTTTAGTAGGACTACCATTAACTTCTTCAATGATCTTTCACTTGCCTCTGTCTAGACCATTTCTTACCCATTCTAGCATGAAAGTCTTACTAATGCTGGCAATGCCACAAGCGTGTTAAAGGCCCTGTAAAGCTACAGTCATGTTATTTTGATTTCCTAGTGTTACCAAAGCATGCAAACAGTTCTAGCATGAACGCTGCCTATCTGACGGAGTTATAGCAAATCGTTAGTTTTTACCAGTCCTCCCTATTAACTCAGTTGCACAGTATTGAATGACTATCCCCTTCGTCTGGAAGACTATGGCATATATTCCTAGACTAGGAGCCGTCCATATAGACTAGGTCGCTTTCACAACGGAGGGGATTCTTCCAGACCTTCCATATCTGGTGTTACTATCTTGAAGATCCTCTGGAAATTGTAACTTCGGACTAGTTGTAAGTGGTTAGTTCGCATTTCTAAAATGGGATGCGCCTTTAACTCATTGTGGTGTTTTTGATGTACCCCATTATGTTACAAATAATTCGTAGGTGTACATACCTGTTCTCTTTGAGAAGATATTTAATGGTGGTATATTTAAGAACCCTATGAACAAGAAACAACCCCATCAACTATTCCCGTTTCTGAGGATGATAAACCCCACAAACATATGTCACATAAAAATAATAGTAAAATTAAGAAATAAGAAAACAAAAATAAAAAATTTTTATAGACAAAAAAACAAAAAAAAGATCAGCAGCTCACTACCTCCACGTCGGTTGATCTTGGGTAACCTGAAGTGTGAGCAAAGACGTAGAACGTTATTCCACAGGGGTCGAAAAACAAGCATATGTAGATTTTGGATAACGAGATTTGGACACTGATATACAAAAAGCGTTTTCACCTGCTTGAAGGGTGAATTTGGCGCGTTTGAGTGATTGAAGAGGATAAAAGTAGAGTGACATTATGTTTTCCGGGTCTCTCATCCTCAGAAAAACGGATGGAAGAGAACCGGTATGTGGAACAGACCAGAGATGTGTGTAACCCCTTTTGGGGTTGATGTTTGGTCATTGGGAGGGGGGTATTGAGGTGAAAATGTATGATGAAGTATATGTGGCTGGTGGAATAGGTTATATGTGCGTTTAACCACTCTTCGAGGCAGTTTTTAACCGGTATGGGGGGATTCGGGTGGAGTGACAGTATGTTCACGTGCTTAACCTTCCGTGCAATTGGGTCACATCGCTATCATACCCGGATTGCGTTTTTACTCCATCTACACACGTGTCTGAAACGCTAAAAAGGGGGGGGTAACAGTGGTCAAAAACAGACAGACAAACCATCTGCCTGGGTTTTTATGATCGGAACTCTTATTTCAGAGGAAAAAAATAAATTGTATTCGCAGCTATTTTTAATTTTGGCCGAGACCACTTTTTATTGTAATTAGTACGTGGGCCCTTGGTGTAGATAAAGATTTCTGGGAACGCGAAATTAGAATATAGTGGGAACTTTTTAATTTTAGAACCGGACGCTTATGTTTATTATCAAATTTAGTTGTTATCACAATAATATTTATTTCTTGCCAAAATCTGAAAACGTTTTAGATTCAAACAAGAGAAATATAAAGGTGATTCCTGAAAAGAGAAAAACACACTGTATATTAAGAATAGAATATCATGAAAATACGGAGTATCTGTTTTTAACTTGATAATGATATTACAGGAAAGAACTACTCTGCGGACTAAAGTCGCGAACGGCATTGAAATACACCCCCCAATATCTAGCTCTGTGCCAGTAGACATTGAATAGCAATGACAAGATATCACGCACCTTATACGTTATATGTCACCCACAGACAAAAAAATATTTAGTTCCGCAAATTGTATGAAGACATATTTCTGCAATTAATCTCTTCTAATATCTTACTTCGTTACAACTGATTCAGAACAGCATATCAAGCGAAAGATGACAAAAGAATGAGGAATACTTTTAAAATTATAAAAAATGGTTATTTCGTCAGTCAAAGACAAAAGCTTATTAAGTATAATGTCGTTTTACATAAATATAAAATTCAATATAAATTTAATTTTGCCCTGCCTTCCTTAACGACATTGTTGAACTGACATCACTTGAGTTTTAACTCCAGAAATATTCATCCCAAATTCATTATTTAGGCTATTCTTGAAGCTGTCGAAGCAGAAATTCCTCTTATAGTGTGCATCACGGAGGGTATACCCCAAAAAGATATGGTCAAAGTGAAATACGCCCTGTTGCGGCAAGATAAATCTAGACTTGTGGGCCCTAATTGTCCTGGGGTGATAGCGTCTGGGAAATGCAAGATTGGAATTATGCCAAATTATATCCACAAGCAAGGTAAATAGAGTACGTATAATAACTGAATAGGGCAGAAATTGTTTTACTGCAAATTATGGCTCTTTCATTGTCATAACATATTAAAACAATGCTTTTAATCTGAATAATATGTCATTTAAAAATATGTATATTCTCAATTATAATCTAAGCGCAGTCTCATCTATTATTAAAACTGTAATTACCATCGAAATTTTAACCTATTACAGGTATAAAACAATATATCACTTTTTGGAGTAAAAATGATATTTTTGCTTTAAAATACTATGAAGTATTCCTAAAGTTACGTCTAATTCATTGAAAGTAAAATTTTCGCCACTGCTACTAATTCAGTGAATACTAAATTTTTATATTTAATTGCTAATTCAATATGAAACCAATTATGGGTTGTAGTACTTTGGATTAGACGCATGTTAGAACCTTAAGTACAGGGAACTCAAGAAAAAAAAATAATTAATACTTAGTCACACAGAGTGTTCCAGATCGAATTGATATAAAGCCATAAGTTTTTTCAGATATACGGAAAAAGGTTTTCGACTATTGTTTAATGGCCATCTTTTTGCACTAACTGGTACCATAGCTAGAACATTGAAGGAAATATCTTTTAGTCATAAGTAGTGAAATTGATTAACTCTAACAAAATATCTACTTGCTAAATTTCTATGCATAGCTAACTTTTTATGTATTGTTGCATTTCCATCTTCTTATTACATTCGCTATAGTACAATTGTGTCTCTAGCAAACGTTTTTATTGGGGCTGTAGGTTATTAGCCTAGGATATCGAATTATAACAATACCAGCAAATATCTTTTTTTATTTCAATTAAGTAATATTTTAGACACTAATACGTGATTTTTTGCCTAATATTCGCATTCAGTTGGACTCAATTATTAACATTGTATTTAAACTTTCGCTTAAACTTATAATTGGACATTCTCACCATCCCTCGCATTTATTCTTCATATAATGTATATGTACCACAGAGTTAAAGCTTAAAAATTACATTCAAGTTTTCATTATATTCAGTGGATTCGTTTCATTATCTTCAATGGATTCATTACATAGAAAACTGCATATTTATTTCTAAATATTAAGGACTGACATGCATGGAAATAATCTGCTTCTTTAGTGTAAAGCAGGCTAATCGACATAAATTAAAATTGTCCCCATTTAACAGGTATATCTTTTTTATTTAGAATTGAAGGTAGTTTCATAATTTCTTATTGGAAATTCAGATTTTTGAAGGACAAAAAAGTTTAACATATGTTTACTCCGACGGAACACTACATGTAGCGCGTCCTAGATGTGATTGCAAAATAGTTACCATTTCCTTAATTACCACCTCAGAAAACATAGATGTACAAACTTTCAAGACAATCCGTTTAAAGATGCTCAAGATATTTAAAAAAATCGAAAATATTTTTTCAACTTTAACACCCTGTAGATCGAAAAGAAGCAACATACGGATAAGGCATATTTGGCTTAATCACTCTATTTTGAGGTCAGCAACATGCCCTTAAGCTTTGTCCCATTATTAATGAATCACCCTGTACAATGTTAGCAGAATAGTCGGCTTATTTTCAAAATACATAACGTTTTTATGTAAAGTACATGAAAGGTTAAAATTGTGAAAGATTATTTTCTGTATAATAAGTTTGAAATCGAAAATTACGTTCAAGTCCAAAATTTTATAATATTGAGTAGGTATATTTATTTATCAATATTGTGTGCTGACATTCATGAAAACAATCAGAGTAAAGCAATGTTTTGTTTATAATCTTCTCATATGGATGAGATAGTTAATATTATGCAAAATTTATTTATATTTTTATATGTATAACGGTATAGCTCTGGATTTAGGAGACTGAAACAAATTAATAAACTAAAAACAACAACGTCCTATTTTGTTTAATCTATTAATTAAACTGAAGTAAAATCCTAATGTAAATTTAAATAATTTGATTCAATTGGAATAATTTTAACTCAACTAAACTTTTCCGATTATTATTACAAAGCATAAATTATAATTATATCCATCCGTGCTGGTACATACCAATGAGAAATAAATGAACTATGTATACAAGGTGGCCAAATGAAAACGAAACAGTCATTTTCAGGAACTGCGTCAAGATTGTAGAAAAACGCTCAGACCCGTCGATTTTAGATTAAAGGGGGACATTCTTTGCTGATATTTTTGACTCCGCCACTTTCACCCCCAAGCAAGGATAAGCATCAACCCAAAATATTTAAATGGCATTGGGGGTTGAGTAATATTTCCTTTGAAAGCTCTTACAATTTTGTTTACAACAGACTTTAAATTTTATAATTCCGCCCAATACTTATTAAGAATTTTGATTTTAAAGTTGAAACTTGTGTACAAACAATTAGTAACGGTAAAAATGTCAGTCATTCGAGTTAAGTACGCCAATGGTATAAATTTAGTACTTCTTGCGTTACATTGGTTTTTGGTAATTTGTTATCACTTTCGTAAAAAAAAATGAATGCTATACACACAATGAACGTAAAAGTAGTGGATTCCAAATTATTTTCTAGTATTATTTGGAAGCGTTGGTTGGTAGTTTATTTAATTGTGTTTTTTAAAATTAAACACTATGGTTTATTCCGTTGCGGAAAGGGTAGGTAGATATCATTTCGCTTTACTGATTAATGCAGTTTTTTCTTAAACGGGACGGTAAATCATCATCAATTGCCGCTATTGGTCCGATTCAAAGAGTTTTTCACGAGGTGGATACACAGCAACCGGAAAAATTAAATGTATGGGCTGGAATTTTCGGTGACCGGCTGGTGGGTCTTTTTTTTCTACCTAGTAATTTAACTGGCCAAATGTATTTGCAATTACTGGAAGACGCTATTGACCCTGCCTTGAATGATATTATTGAAAATGTTCCTGAGTATGATGATCATTTAATTTTTCAACAGGACGGTGCTCTTCCGCATTATGCGTTAATTGTCCGTCAGTATTTGGACCAACGTTTTCTACGGAATTGGATTGGGAGAAAAGGCAGCATTGAGTGGCCTCCACGATAACCGGATTTATCGCCCCTTGATTTCTTTTTGTGGGGATACCTAAAAAGTAAAATCTATAAAACACAGCAAGCGTCGCTGGAAAATTTGCCTCAAAGAATCGTCGCAAATGCCGTCGAATCACTCCGGAAATGCTTCGGAATGTGCGCGAACGTTTCAAACAAAATCTTTATTCTTGTATGGAAGCGGGCGGTCATCATCATCAAGAGCTTTCAAAAGAAATATTACTCATCCCCCAATGTCATTTAAATGTTTTGGGGTGATGCTTACCCTTGCTTGGGGGTGAAAGTGGCCGAGTCAAAAATACCAGCGAAGAATCTAAAATCGACGGGTCTGAGCATTTTTCTACAATCTTGACGCAGTTCCTGAAAATGGCTCTAACGTTCGTTTTCATTTGGCCACCCTGTATATTTTATTCTTATTAGTTACTTTGTTTATTGACTGTTTTAAACAAAAATCAAACAAATTTTCCTCTATTTCCCTTGTGAAGAAAGTTATGGCTATGTACTCATTTGAACGGAATAAGCTGTAGGTATATACTTATGGATATATTTTATTCATATAACTACGAGTCATATTTTTAACTACCACTAGACTTATGTCAGTTGGTGTTTGAATGAGCTTTAAAATCACTTCAAATTTCAAATTTGCAGGAGTGGTGGCAATTGTCTCCAGATCAGGAACACTAACATACGAAGCAGTACATCAAACAACTCAAGCAAAATTGGGCCAAACTCTTTGCGTGGGGATAGGAGGGGATCCATTCAATGGTACCAATTTCATCGACTGCTTGGATATATTTTTAAACGATGAGAATACTAAAGGGATTATATTAATAGGTATGATGTTTATGTCTCTATTTTAGAGGTAGGTATCAAACTAATTCAAACAAATTTTTTAAACATGGTTCTAAACTTCTAAACAATCAGATCAAATGAAATTAAACAAGATTCTTCGATATCCGAAACCTAAATTTGTAAGAAAAATCAAAAAAATAGAAGATACTTTTGTTTTGTATACCTATTGCTAGCTGTTTACTATGTTGCCATGGTATAATATAATACTAGTTGGGGCATGTACAAGCCCAGGCTCATAATAGTTCGGCCAGGCATAATTTTACTACTAATATATTTTGATAAAAGTACTAACACTCTCAAAACTATTTTATTAAAGAAAAGCATTGGTAACAGAAACATAGTGTTCCTGTTATGGAATGTCCCTCTAGCAGTCCAGATCACTTGCCAATAGAAACATTGTGGCATAAAATCAAAAAAACTGTTGCGCGAACATCCAACCCGTTTAGTTAACGATCTATACATCAAATTGTAAGAAATTTTGGATAGCACGCTTTCTGAAGAGTGCGCTAAACTGGTAGATACAATGCATTCCAGAATTAAAGCTGTTATTCATAGTAAAGATGTTGTAATACAATTTTGATAAAACGGTCGAACTATTCTGAACCGCCAATGTTAATGTTTTTTTATTAACAAACACATTATTACGTAATAATATCTAATCGTATTTAAGGTAAAAGTTTATTCTTTGTTTATATTACCAATATTTTTATTTTGAAAGTGTTGTTACTTTTATTTAAATATATTAGTAGTAAAACTATACCTGGCCGAACTATTATGAGCCTTCTGATAGCATTTTTAATTTTTTAAAGATCATCTGACCTTCCAATAAAAGTTACTACTAAATAACCGAGTCTAAAAATGCCTGATAAAAAAATTATCTGTCCTTGTTAAACTGTTTGACCGAACCAAATGGTATACATTAAAGATATCTTTAATTTACCAATCTCAAAAAGGTATATCTCAGAAACATTATATTGGCGAATTACTTAATTTAGGTGAAATAGGGGGTCAAGCTGAAGAGGACGCTGCGGAATACCTTGCAGAGTTCAACTCCGGCCCAACCGCCAAGCCAGTGGTGGCGTACATTGCAGGAGTTTCGGCGCCCCCTGGTAGAAGGATGGGGCATGCTGGTGCGATTATTTCAGGAGGCAAAGGGAAGGCTACTGACAAAATGAAGGCTCTGGAAAGAGTTGGTGTGACAGTTGCAAAGTCGCCGACGGAAATGGGTGTAACGTTATATGAAATTATGGATAAAATGAATCTTGTTCAAAAATACTGATGTCATTATCTTTTGAAATGTATAAAAACGAAATTTGTAAAGTGCAGTCAATTTAACTCGACTAGCAAATTTGAAAAGCACCGAATACGTCGGGTTCGACATCTGTTTCAAATAAGCCTCTGCGAACTAATAACATAGTCTACAACATTGAATTCTTTGTCCACAGTGTGTTAGGGCTGAATGAATTTCTTAGGCAGCAATTCTTCATTCTTTTTCATTCTCTTCATTCTTCGTCATTCTCTTCATTCTTAAGCGACTTGCTTTCCTCGGGCCTAAACAGTCTACGCAAGCAACCTGTCGCCTGCGGGTATAATTCTCCCTTGGCACATAAGTAACTATTTCGTCGTCTTAACGACCTTTCCCTTAGGTATATGGTGAAACGAAAATCACTTTCAATATTATTAATTTTTATTAGGTACTTTATTGAAGCACGCATTTTTTCGCATCCGTCAGTTCGCGAAATAATTTTGATTATTACCTACACAATAATCCAATATCTTAATCTAAATCAACAGATACAGTTAATGTTGAGTGTTTTGAAATAAAACCACCTAAATTTAAAAATGTCGGTAATACTTATACAGTGAAATCATAGAGCAGACACTTTGTGAGTGGAATATTTAGAAACTTCAGAGTGATATTTATCACTGCCACTTTGAGGCAATTCGATCGGTATTCGATCAACTAGAAATATTAATTCAAAGTATGACAAATGATTGTGTAATTATATCAAATTACGTATTGAGAAATTATTTCTAACCTGTTCAATTCACTAAAATTGATATCTGATAGCTAATGGATAATAAATATTTGGTGTTTTTTTAAACTTACATTTGGAATTACCCATCTTCTATATTTACCAAAATTCCTCTAAATATACTATATCTGATAAATTCATATTCTACATAAATATCTTAATACAAAAAATTCAAAAATAACAAAAATTAGTGACATTCAGGTAAAATGACTAAAATTTATCATTGCTATATTTATTATACGATAAGCACAATATTAAAAACAAAACATAGTGGTTTTAATTAACATCTAGATGCTGATTAGGATAAAATAAAATAAAAAAGTACTCTCTCTCCCTCTTATAACGTTGTAGGATATAATTCTTTCCTCAAAATATATATCTGGACAAAATTATCGGAGGACTTTAAAAAATTAATGTCAATTTTAATTTTTACGAAACTTAAGTCGTGAAATAATTTTGTACAGGGCAGATAAGATAATCAATTAAACAACTATACTTGACAAAAAATATAGGCTATTTTATTCTAAACGCTGCATTGTTTGATAAACAAACTTTTCATTTTATTTTTAGATATAAATGAATTGGTGAGATGCTTTGTCAAGGAATTTTTATACACATATTCAAATAATTGCGTTTTATATTTTGTTTCTTATAGCTAATTAAATATACTATATAGTATATATATATATATGCTATAGTAAATAACTCCCGTGTTATTCATAATACAGAAAAAAAATTTATATAAAAGTTGTACAGAATCAAGAAACCTAAACAACAAAATTAATTTGAAACATACATACATTTTTAAATGGAACACCCTATATATTTTTAAACATACTATGGATTTCTATATATAACAAATATATACAGATTTAACATTTTAGTGCGGGGTTGCCAAGTTATGTATAAAATTCTTCGAATTTTGGAAAAAACATCACTTGTATTAACTTTGAACTACTAACACTTAGAGCAAACATTTTTGGCAGAGTTATATATAAATAGACAAATGTTAGGCAAAGACTCCTATAAAATCGATATTTTATACAGGGCATTTTTTATAATACAATTTTTAGTTTCACTTGATTTTCTAAAATTTTTCAAACGGAACACCCTGTATTTTATTCTATTTTATTCACATATCGGTCCACTTCAACTTTTATTAAGCAACTTCTATAGATACCTAAAATTGTAAGTTTTTAAGATATAGCAACATTTCTAAAAAAAACTTAATTTTTATTATTTTATAGAATACCAACAAATAAATATTAACTAATAAAATGAACTCAAAATGGAATGATAAATTATGAACTGACAAGTTGACACAATGTGACAGTTTTTTCCAAAGCCATCTCGTGCGACCAAAAATATCTTAAAAACTAACAACTTTAGGTGTAGAACATGCTTAATAAAAGTTCAAGTTAATCGACATGTAAATAAAATAGAACAATAAAATACAGGGTGTTCCTTTCGAAAAATTTTAGAGAATTAAGTTTGAACTTTCTAAAAATGATCGTAGGTATTATAAAAAGTGCCCTGTATAAAATATCGATATTAGCTAATATGGCTTTGTCTAACATTTGCCTACAAATCTGTATAATTATTTAGTTCCAAGTGTTAGCAGTTCAAAGTTAATACAACTTCTTCGAGGTCATGTTTTTTCCAAAATTCGAAGAATTTTCTACATAACTTGTGCAACCCCGTACTAAATGATAAACTATTTATATTGCCATATATCGAATTTTCTCAGAAATCCATGTTTAAAAATATACAGGGTGTTGTTCCATTTAAACAATGTAATATTTGGTGTGTCCCGTTTTTACTCATCGCCCTGTATCTTTCAAATTAATTTCGTAGTGTTGGATTCTTGATTCTGTACAACTTTTATATAAACTTTTTTTCTGTATTATAAATAACGAGGGAGTTATTTTACTTCCTCACACTAATGGCCCACCCTGTAGATATTTAATAAAGGCAACAAAATCGTTAAAATATAACTAACTATTGGTTACTAAATTTTAGGATATTTATAATAAATAAGAAAACTATTATTATACAACAACAAAATCATAAATTTATAATTTATCATTTTTTGGTTGATATTCAATTGGTCAATACCGCACATTAGGTATACCTATGTACCTACAGAATAAAAGCTGTGTTGAAATCAATTTTCATAAAATACTGTAAATGTCTACTGATAATTATAAGCATCGAGCAAAAGATATCACATTTAGTGCATTAAATTAAGTTACTTTATCTTTGCATCACTTAATTTTCACATACTTACAGGTATATCCTTCGCTCGTACAGTTAAATATTATTTTATTGTATTCAAAGTTGATATAACATAACAGCAATAACTACAAATGGTTGGAAAGAAGCTTTGTTTAATATTAATATATATTACGGACAAATTTTGTTTTTCGAACTTGGCTTGTTTTTGTTTTCAAGAAAAATATGGATACTATGATGACTATCATTACTATTTGATATTAAAGTTACCTCTTTCATACCATTTACAATGATCTAAACTTGCTAATTCTGAATTCTAATCTATAACTCTAAACAATTGAATAAAATACTTAGGCGTACTAGTTAAGTAAATTATAAGGTACCTAACACTATCTATAAACCAAAATATTGAATTTGTTTTGGAAAAGACGTTCTCAATTTTATGCATACTAACTAAAAACCAAAAAATGGATTTTTTCTATAAAAATTATTGTATTCTCAATACATCAGAAAAAATTAGAACGTCATTTTTTTAATCGATAGGAATTCTTCGAAATTTATATTTATTGTCAACTTTATGACTTTAGTGTGTCTAATGCAATTAAATTCTTTTTTAAATTATTTACCTACAAAATATTACTAAGGCTAACATACATATTTGGCAAAACAGGTCCCTCCTGTTGTAAGACCTCGATAGGATGTAGAATAGTTTTATAGCTATACAATAATTAGTATTTACTTGATTTTACTGTACCAAAAGCAAAACAATGCTTAATCTCTTAACTACATTTTGTTTGATAAATAGATACGTATATTTTGACAACGAACAGCTGTTGTAAATACATAATATTAAACTCCACAAAAATTAAACATAAACACATTGAAATTTAAATAACAACCATGTATTATTTGTTTCATTCTCCGACAGCAGGTATTTCACCAAAAAGTGCCGATATTTGCTGGTGCCGAAATATAAAAAATTAGCATCATTGGCGGCCATTTGCAATTACTCGATCGATGATGTGACTATCACGGTAACAATATGATTAAATCCAAACAGTTTTAGGAACTTTCTATAAACTTTATTCGTTTCCATTCCAATGTATTACTAATTTTTTAATTACAATTTCTATTAATAGAACTGTAATAAAAAAAATTGTGAAAAATTCTGAATACAGAAGCGGATGTTATTATTGAAATTGGTATTTTATTCAAGACGGCACGTTCAATATGTAATTTGCAAGTGTAATTGCAGCCGAAAAGTAGGTACCTAAATGCAATTTTTCACGGCAGCAACATAACATTTTTAATTATTAGTCAGCCATGTTACTCATTTAAGCAAAAAATAGACGAAGTACGATTCCACGTTCAATGATTTGAATGGACTGTAACGGTGAAACACCGACAAATTCAATCTTGTAGTATCCTTTTTTTAGGGCTCATTTTTTTAATATGATTTTTTTATCTCATATGAACATCATCCGTATAGAATCATTTTCCTGAAAATGTAAGAGCAAAGATTAAATTGTAGAATAATTCACTTTCAATTTTTTTACTGCAGCAAATTTTTTCATTTTCGGTAAATATCTACTTTTTATGAAAGATTTTGTGATAGTTCCTGCTATTATTTATAAAATAGCGAACTTTCTAAATAACATTGTTTTTGTACATTTGATTGGTAAATTTTTATACAAAATTTTTAACAAATAAACATTGATTTTGTAGTATGTACCTGAAAATGCTAAAACAAAAAATAAAACACGTCATTCTAGTTCTACCAACCAAATTTATTTTAGTTCAATATAAAATTAGAATTGTACAGGTACAATATTCCTTTCTTTCTTCCTTTCTCTTGTTAAAATTGATAACATTTCCAATATATATTATATATAGTTGACAAAATACAAATCAATCAATTAAAGCATTATTTGCAAAAATTATGCATCATTAAGGATATAACAGAAATCTTATTGTAAGATTTCTTAACCAATTTGTAACTAAACATGTATGTCTAACAAAAATCTTTACAACAATTCAACTAATAAACTAACATTAATGTGGACTCAATTGGAGAAAATGGTATAAAAATAAATAAATATAAATAAAAATAGTTCTTATACAAATATTTTAAAACGATCTTTTTTGTTTTTTTTTGTCGTTTTTGTAATTGTTAAACACATTTTATATTATAAAACAGTTATTAACTTAGATGTTTTTAGGTCTAATAAAATATAACAATTAATCGAATCACATGATAACAGTTCTATGTCGTTTTCAGAAATAATTGAAAACGCAAAATTACTTACTAAACTTCACTTCTTAATCATAATTTTAAAGAGGTTGTCTCTGAAGTTCGTTACCATTTTCTCCAGTTCTTCTACTTGTGCTTTAAGTTTAATGTTTTTGCAAATGAGGCCTTCGGCTTCCTTTTCAAGCTCGAGTTCCTTGATTTTCCTCTTCAGCCGGGACTTTCTCGACGCTTCGTTGTTTTTGTCTCTCAGTTCTCTGTATTTTGAGGCATCACTATCTTTGGAACAATCCGACGAAACGGATTCTGTCCGTTTCGGTGGGCGTCCTCTCGTTTTGGCTTTGGTTTTGTAGGCAACGTCCACGTCACTGTCAAGTTCTGAATCGGAGTCTTCTTTGATGATCTTTTTACGTTGTACTATATTCTTTTTACTGGGCGGGACATAATCTTCGTCGTCGTCGGTGTAAATTCTTCGTTTTCTTGGCCTCTTCTGAGGTATTATCTGTTTGATGTGTTTGTGTTTTATTGTTGAGGTATTAACATTTGTTGATATTGCTGATACAACTGAATTATTGGTGAATATGTCTTCTGCGTTTACGAACGTTATGTCCTGCAAATAAAAACAAAGGTTAAAATCAATGCTTCTGCTGAAATTTGTGATTTTTAGAATTTGCTAGACATACAAAATATAATAATAATTATGGTTCTTACCTCATTTGTCACCAAATCTAGTATATTAAAGTTAGCATTCTCCAAGTCCACAACTTCCTCAATTATGCTTGGAGTGGTCAGATTAGATTCAGTGGTTGACTTGAGATTGACATTGAGGGAAAGATGAGAGGGCCTTTTAATAGAGTCATGAGAAGCACTGCTGTTACTGTCTTCGGGTGTTTCCAATCCACTGTTAAATGGCCGAAACATGTCGTTCGCCGAAGAAATCCTAGAAAGTCTATTAACACTTAGAGCACTATTATCGTCCACATTATATACAGTTGTGTTTGTATTTTCAAGGATTGGTGATATTTGACAACTGTATGCACTTCCGGTTTCGGATTGAGGCGAAAATACATTAATGTCAGCATTTTGTAGTATATTACCTACATCACTATTGATATTTCCATTTTGTTGCACTTTTCCTGTATTTAGATACAAGTCCTTAAACTGGTTGTTGTCGGTTATTATACAGGAGTTTTCGTATAGTATGTCGCTTTCAGGCTTAACAAATATATCGTCAGAATAATCATTGACGTTAAAAGTAAAAGCGTCTTTGTCTGGAAACAAAAGAAAAACTTGTTATTTGTGGATCAAATATAAGCAACGTAAAATTCTCAGTATAGCCAGAATTTTGACCCCAAAATTATATTAAAAAACTAGAGAGAAACAGAGCATTAGTAAAACTCTTTTTTTGCTACAAATTTGGAATTAAATCCTTATTAACAATTTAGCTATCAAAAAGTTATCCGAACCATTCGTAATATCCATTAGTTATATATAGTATATATATAAAAATTTGAGTACTAAATTGAAGCATGTTTCAGATTAGATATAAAATTCAAGTATATACAATAGACAATTTATCTTGAATCCATCGTCTATAATTTGCAAATAATATCAAAAAATAAAAATATGATAAAGTTGCAAGTAAATTGTCTATATTTTTGTTAAATTCGTTCATTTATTTTACCTGTTCAAATGTAATATGCCCCAGTACGATCGTATATATATTTAATTTATCAATTAATCAACCATTTTTTGTGTATCTGAAAAATAACATCTTTATAAACTAATACAGCCAAAATAACAAACACAATAAACAAAAAGAAATGATTCATAAAATAGAGGAAAACATTTCTATTTATGTTTAGTTTTGCATTTGATACTTCTACGCACGAAAAGTAAAAAATGTTTTCCCGATTTCTCCATAAGCTGAAAAATATAAAGTGGAAACTCTTGTTATCTGGCTACACCGGATCGAAGTTCTTAAACAAAAAACTCACAATATCCTATCCAAAAAATGAAGCAATGGAAATCCCCACAGCTAATATACCTAAGAAAGTTTCTTACCAAATATCGGCGTATTTAGCTCATCTACAGAATTTGTTGACGAGGGCTTTGGATGGACAAATGGCGATAGGTCGCTGAATTCTTCCATCTCCAATTTGATTTTGCTCTGAGGCTCGTAAAACACGCCACCACGGGACATGTCCCAGAGTCGTTGAAGTGTAACGCTCGATTCGTCCTAAAACAAATAATTTTATTTTAAAGTAACTCCCATCAAACCCACATTTTAAAAGTATGTGTATATTTTGCGAGATGTTCCAATCTTCCAAACATTTAATACACTTTTAATTTAAAAAAAATACAAACTTCCAAAAAAAAGTAAATCCAGTAAATGTAAATTATTCAACAAAAATAATTCAAAATAAAATTCACAGAAATATTTGCTTTTTCAAATATTTACCAAACTAAACTTTTAAAATATAATAGATACACAAAAAAATAATTTTATAATAAAAACTACACTACATATCCACATTAGGTATAAATCAAATAAATAAAAATGATTTAAAATTTGAACAAATTAATTAAAAAACAAAATAAAACTTCTGCGGTATATCTTTATTAATGAAAATTAAAATTTAAAAATGGTTATATTTACAAAAGTACGAATGCACTTAATAAATAGTAAAGTGAAAAATTAAGTAATTCTATCTTAATGTATACTAAAATTGAGAAATAAATTCTAAATATTTTTTCAAATTTATTAGTTAACAATATCGACATGTCAAGCCAACTAAAAATAAAATTTTAAAAATAAATTTAAAAAGACTTGACACTGCAATAAATTATCAGTAATTACTATTCAATGAATTAAAAAATAGGTACCTATAAGTTTGGTTTGACGAATAAATTTTGTAAAATATAAAATAAAAACCCATTAATAAACTAAGTAACCATCGAAAATGAATTATGAAAATAAGAAAAAATCTATTTTGATTTTGAAAACTAGCAAAAATTTATTGATGTTATGTTAAAGTATTGAGGTTATACACACTATAAATAAATAAATTGTTAGCATTTGGAAAATAATTCATAATAGAATTCATGGAAGGTACTTGAAATTAAAATTATCATTAAATAATTTACATTTACAACGTTAAGAAAATATTCCGATAATCTCAACATTTGAATTGACCAGAGTTTTATTTACTTAAAATATAAAAAGGCTTTCTTCTCGCAAAACAGCATTTTAAAATCATATTTTGGGAGACATGCTAATGCATATATATGATTAAGAACTGCAAAAATAAAAATCGATTTATAGAAAAAGAATTTCTGAAGAACAGCAATATTGATATTGATTTCATTAAAATACCAAATATTGAATGCGACATAATTTAAATAAAAATTATCGAATCTCAAAAACTTTTCTAAAGTCAATAAAAGCGGTTTCAAAAATAAAAACACAAAGATAATCACGTTTTTTTTAATTGACTGAAATCACATCACAAATTCTTTTTCAAATTTGCATTCATTTAATAAATGTCATAACCTAAATGTTATACAAGGAATATGTAATGACAGCTACGTCAAAATGGCTTCCATCTCACAAAATACAAAATGGAGCAAAGATCAGAAATTAAAAAATATATGTACATTATAAATCCTCCGTAGGGTTATTTGTCCTGAAGTTGAAGATTTCCGTCGAGTATTCATAGTGATGCAGTTCGAACTCTGTGCACTTTTTTACAATGTATCACAGTCACTATATAATTCAAATGATCATTAACCCTACATATGATCAAGTGAACAAGTCTCTACAAGTCATAAACAAACAGCACAAGAATTAATCACAATTCTTGGAAGGCTTTACGATAATCATCTGCCGCTGAATGATAACTGCAAATGGCTCACAGGTGAGGAAAGCGCCTATATGTAACGACAGGCTCCCCACTACTAAATAACAATAACAAGATAAGTCATCGGGACTCCATCAAAACTATGAATTTGATACAAAAATAGCTGTTGAAAATTCGCTTTCAGAAAATCCGGATTAAGACCTTACACGACTTATTCAATATATTTACTTCAAACTTGTTTAATATTGCTTAAAATTCCTCGACGGCTGCAAGTAATTTTCAACAACCAAACAAAATAGATGTATTGCGACATGTTGTGAAGGAAATCCAGAATACCAATGAATCCTCACCAATTTCATTATGTTTAAAATGAGAGAAAAAATAATTTCATCACTTCATAACTCTTAAAAACTTCAGTGTGATTTACAATTTTCATTATTTTCTGTGACTACAACTTTTTCTACAATTAAATACAGGATCTTCTGTTAAAAAATTAGCCACCTCCTAACCCATTTTAACTTTGTTTTTCTTAAATAAATATGTGAGAACCGTGTCGTAGGTACGTCCAATTCACATTACATATAGTCACAGCTACTATTTATTTTTTATGGAAAAATTTCTTTACTGAAAAAACTTCGCGGGATTTTTATTCAGAATAGTCTCAACACAAGCACAAAGATATTAATTTTAGTAATACCAACATACAGGATGTTTAATTTTTAGGTACCGACATATCGTTAAAAATCAAGTTGTTTTAAATTTTTGAGTAGTTATGTGTGGAATACTTGGACGATTACAAGATGATTTAAGAGTATTTTCTATTTTAAAATTCAACTAAAAAAAAATCTTGGCACAACTAAAAAATGTTATGTTGATATGTAACTTTCACCAGGAAACTTTAGAAAATCTGTAATTGTATCACAAACATTGGGAATCTGTGTTCGTTTTTTAACAATATGTTGTAAAAACCCATTAATTATTTGAAACATGTTATACACAGGTGATACACAAAACTAGTATATTTAAGTTTCAGGTCATTCTGAGTAACAATGTGTCGGCTTTTTTTTTTTCTTGAAAATTTGCTAATAACACTAATCAATTAATAATTTTTGTAATATAAATTGATCGCAGCTGGCTGTGACATAAAATGATTGGGATATGCTGTCGACATTCGAAGTTGGGGTAGCAAATTCTTATATAGAACATCCTATAGAATGCTTACATACTTAAAACTTATTGAAAATGAAACGGAAACTGAATTACCTAATAATAAAATTGATAGGTATAAAATATTTCAGTGGATAGTTATTTCAAATAGTCCAATAAAATTAATTTAAACTGGAAACACGGTTAAAATCGATAAAGATAAATACCTTGAGCATTACATCTACGTTTAGCGTTGCTGGCACTACACTGGTTTCCATGTCGGGATTTAATCCGTAAGGACTGCTGCTGGTGTACACGAGTTTTGTGGGATCCATGTCCATATCTAAGAATTGTGTTTCCATAGCCAGGTTTGCACTGTATGTGTTTGTTGTGATTTCCAAATTTGGATTGGTTGAAGAAAATTTCTCGCCATGATGCGGAAGGGACGACAAGATCTCTTGCGAGGACCATTGTGACAGGGACTATAGAAAAAATAATATAGTTAGAACTCGAACATAATCATATTTCCTGCAGCAGTTAAAGAATGCGTTGAATTAACACCTTTGCACATTGTGAACCAAACATCCACAGACCTTTTTCAAATTTGTATGTTTTCAGATTAGAGACAAGATTTCGGATGCACTGAAAGTGTAATAATTTTCCTTATCGCATTTGTTCAGTAAGTATTTAATATAAGTACCAAATCTATTAACAATAAATATTTGTGGACAAATTAAGTTGAAAATAATATTCTGTTCAAGAGGATTTATACAGCCAACATAATAATGCCTGGAAATGCCCGTCTCTTAACCTGAACCGTCTTAAAAATGGTCCAGACATTTAGTCCATAGTGTACCCCTAATTCCGTTTAGAAAAGCATATAAACAGAAACTCAATAGACCACAGAAACTAAATTGGAAATACTACCCGAGGAAATTGCACAAATCTTACTTACTAAACACCGACATGTGTTTTGAAAATAAGATTTTTACAATTTCGTAACTTATCTAACTTAAATTACATTACTTTTTGAAAGAACTTTTCTGAAGATCGTGTCTCAGACATAACTCTTACAGTTTCTATTAAAAAGTCAAAGTGACCTCCGGCGAGGAGTTTGTGATTTTACAAATTACAACTATATAGTTATAGATTTGTTAATTTTACCATATCCGTTAAGTCCCTCTGCATATCCTAGAAAGTTAACAAACAAATTTATTACTCAAAAGTTATTTTATTTGATAAAAAGTATTATATCTAATAGTGCACCTTGACTTTTGGGGGTTAGTCACATAAAACCCAAAGCATTTAAAGGGTTGTAAACATATTTGAAGAACCTTCACTGAAAACTAAAATTTCGACCAAATCCCGAAAGTCGAGATTAACACCTACCACTTATCTGCTGCCTTAAACTTAACAAATTTACTGAACATGCAAAGAGCACATTATTTTCTGGAAAAAAATGTTCAAATCGAAATTAAAACTGGTGTTTATGACATTTTGACTTTAAAACTGTATTATAGAGAAACCTATATTAAATAGATACAATGTATAATTTTTCAGATTGAATAACAGAAAACATTCAATAGAAATTAACCTTTACACAACTTAGGCTCAAAACAAAAAGCATTTAACAAAAATATAAAAATAAACAAAAAAATTTAAAATATTTAATAAAAACGTTTACAATTTACAATAAATAAAACACATTATATACTGTTGAATATTAATTATATCAATAATTTCTTTGTGCACACTTTTACTTTTCTCTAAAAGCAGTGCTAGGAACTGATTTAATTATGCAGATTTATTCTAATTAAATTTTATTCCAAAAGCACCAACTGATTTATAAAGTTGACGCCATTGGAAACAGTTATCTGTATAATAAGGTATTTCCACCTATATCAGAATTTACGTATTTAATCGTTTCTTCCAACGGAAGACGTATAACGTAGACGTCTTTTTGTGGTCTCGGAACCGTTGGAATAACCCTAACAATTTCGTGGAACACTCGTGCTTTATTCGATTAAAAAAAAATATATATTCTATCAAGAGTATTTTCATGAATTTGAAAACAACCATTTTCTTTCTTCAATATTCCAAACTATTATAAAAAGTGTGACACAAAATAAAAAGTCTATAATCTCCAATTTCAGTGTTCATAAATGTCCTTGAGTTCTTGGAATGCTTTACATAACACTATAATCTTTAGATTACCATTTAGATAATATAAATGTTTAAGTAATTATTTATTCTTTGAAATGCTTACACATGTAATAATTTAACGTAGGTAATCCTTAATAATTAGTCAAATATGTGAAAAATATAAAACCTAAAGTTAAGTTTCAAATATTCACGAGTCAATATTTAATAAAGTCTGTATAATCAAATGTTCAAAGTTCATTTAGACAAATATAAGTTTTAGTTACACATAAGCTTTACCTACCAACTATAGAATTTCTAAATTGGCAACAGTTATCTCTGCTACGAGTGTTGATATCACATGAGATAATATTATCAATAAAAATTAAGAAATATAATCTCATTTGCATAAATTCGCAATATTACACAATATTGGGTAACATGTGGTAACACAAGAATAATAATAAATGAATTTGCAAAAAAAAAACAAAAAATAAAGAATGCCTTTCTTGTTAATAATAACACTATGATTAATACAAATACAGTATATTACATACGGAGCACCAACTACTCACATTATATTCGCCTTGTCTTCTTTTGAGAATGTTGATTCCCTGTGGGGCCTACCAGTAGAAGAGTTGAGTGTTGTTAACGCTCAACCTACGAAGAAGAGATTCTCGATAAAAAATTATTATGTTTTTAAACAATTTTTACTAATATCGTCACACAATATACAGTCAACGTAATTCGCCTCTATGTTTCAGGCTTAAGCAGCCATATTTCTTCGTTTAGAAACCTGAATAACTTTTATTAATTACATTGCCGCATATAAAAAAAATATGTAATTGACCTAGCGAAGTAGATCACTGACCTTTTATCATCAACATTGGAAAATGTTACCAAACCAAAAAGTAATTGAAATTTCCAATGATTAAATAATGACATACTGTATATGAAAGGAGGTAACACGATACCTTGTAATTTAATATTGATAGATTTAGAATTCTACTTATGGAAAGTTTCCAGATAATTCTGGAACGCTGCCTCCTTGGATAGCAAAACAAAACAAGCACATGGAAAATTTGCAAATATTCGCAACGTTATTTAGTTTCATCCAAATTTAGTAATTCTAGCAACCATCTAATAATAAATTTTCTGGAATAAGTTATGATTTGTTCTGAAAGTTAGTTGAACCCAATGGAAATCGATCCTGAGTAAACGTTTCTCTGAAATATTTTTATCTTATGTATGTAATCACATTTTTTCAAATAAATTTTCATTATACTGATGAACATCAGTATTATATAACGTACGCCTATGTATAAGAGTGTATAACGACAATAACAAAACAATTATCAGAATTATACAAATACAAAAATAATTGCTATTCCTCGAAAAGCTTAATAGGATGTGACGTCAAAGTCTACAGACGAGTTCTAACAAGTCGGGAACGCTCAGTTTTGTCCCAAGGTCAGTCGCCGACAATACAAACTGTTGGTAGTAAATCGATAATGATAATATGCTGAACTAAAAACGTATGTGGCGAATAAGCATGAAAAACATATTTTAAGTGTTTCTTTTCTTCTTTGACTATTGTGAAACATTAAATACGAAATTGGCTTTGTTTAAAAAAGTTTGATCAGAAATATTAAAGTTGTATCGAGTTCATCACTAAAATATTTTTATTAAAAAATAAATTTAAAAAAATTTGATTAATGGATTATTGGATAGTGTAGGTATAATATAATTTTAAAATTACAATTTTGAAAATGACTCAAATTATCTATTAATTTTCAAATTTATAAATATTTAACTGGGTACTGATGCTGACTGCTTTTTGAAAATAGAAACTAGAACTATCTCGAAATATACTTTCACTGAAAATGATCAATAAAAAATTTTTTGAAAAATAATTATACTATTTCTTTTATTGAGAACCATATGGTACGTAAGACAGCAGCCACATTAATTTGCCACAATCTAATTCACACCAAAAAAAGACAATAATTAAAAAATGGACAATTCTCTCTTTACTGCGTTGCATTGCTAATCACAAATAAAAAAATTCTTACTCTGTATATGTTCGTTGCTGTGTCTCCTTTTAGTGCACGAAAATTAGCCACTGCTTAGAAAAACAAATAATATTAAGCAGAAATAAATTTACACAGTTTCTAGCACTTCTAGAACTTTTGCTATATTGAAGTCGCTGCCTAGTGACAACGCGTGTGCACAGTTCAGCGATAGCAGGAGTTCTGATGACACGAAAATGGCCACTGCACTGAAGGCTTCGTGGCAGCAGGAATAAAAACGGAGATGGAAATACAACTATCCTTATCGCACACGTTGATAAACCGGATCATAAGAATTTCCGTAACGGTTACTGGCTCTAATGTGGTCACGAGGGGCCAATCACAGCTTTGCAGTCACGAGAAGCAGGAGATGTAGATCGTAGCTGTGACTCATCGGAATTACATAGCAGTTTTCGGTATTTTTTCAGTACAGTCAAGAACAAAAGTAAGTTAGATAACAATATAATTCTGGTGTCTGGTGCAGATTACGAGCAAATGTAAAATATGCCGAGCAAGCCTCAATTTTAATCCAGTTGATACATTTTGATCAGCCGGCACAGCTATTGAATTAAAACAAGAAACAACTTGTTTGTATGCGCTAAAATACTTGTTTTGAATGTATGGGTTTTCTAGGAAATGCGGAAAGTGGGGAATTGTTTTCAACGGAGCCTTACTCCTACTTCTTATACCTATATAAACTTCGTACGTGGAATCCTGTCTGTATAAATTTGTTTTTCAAGCCAATCTGCAAGCTCCCCACTTTCATTTAAGCTAGAATATATTGCTAAAAGATATGGCCCAGATCTTAAGAGATCCTAACTCATTGAAGATTCTTCTACAACATTAAATCTTGTTTCATTTTTAATATCTACAATTGCTTGCGCATTGCAATGAATTTATATCCAAAATCCTGACGTTTCATTTGCGTCAGTGATAGGTACATTGTTCTAATCGTTTGACAAAGCATTTCGCAAAACAAATAAAAGTATTATATTTGATAAGGGAATTTAACCAACCAGACGAAATTATGGTCACCTTATACACCTAAATACTGATAATAAGCACTATCCGACAACAAAGAAAAATACAGACAAAAAGTTGTTTAGGTCAACAGCCTTTGTCCTGTTTTGTTTTTTTGTATATTTTGTTTTAACTGAATATAAAAAAAACTTAGCATCTAACCTTTCCAATTCTGGTTAATCCAGAAAAATATGCTATGGGAGATTCATTTTATTAGAGATGACAGCGGTTCTTTGCAAAATTTTTATATACTTAGAAGATCAGTGACGTGCAATATCTTACAGAATCGCCCCCTGAATGCGCCACTGCCTCCCACCAATTTTTATTAACGATTTTGTTCGAAAATGATATTAAACAAATATCTAAAATAAAAGATTGGTTGGAGTATCTTTCATTGGCCAAATTTTGAGCTATAACTTTTTTGCAATCAACATTGAGACAAAAAATTACTTACATCCCCATGGTGCCTCTTCTTGTGTAACACTTTCCCAAGCACTTTCTTTTATTAATTGTCTGAACACAATATTTTTCTGCGTGAAAATCGCAATCAAAATGTTGGTTGGAGTTAACTGGGATTTCGGAATTTATTTGCATAGCACCTTCAGAATAATCGAACATACTTTTCTGCGCGAAATTATTTTAATAAAAAATATTGTTACGCAATATTACAACAAAACAAAAAATTGAGAAGTGGAGAAGGGAACACAAACGCCTTTTTGCAATCTATGAGTAGATTGTAAGGCTCTGACACTTCGTATCGAAATTGATAAATCCAAATTTCAAAGCGAGTACCTAGCAGTTCGACCTGCGAGAAGGGGGACAAAATAAACGATTTTGGTTGGGTGTTCGGCAAACTACACGTCACATTGTTCGTGTTGTCAACAGACAGAATCCTTAGTCACAAGGTGTCTGATGCAATACTAGTGCAAGATCTGTTCGCACTGGGCAGCATCAGGACCGGCTGTATCTGATTTAGATACATATTAAATGTTGTTACGTATTGTGCAAGAAACAAAAGAGTCAACATTTTCCTAAAATTTAAAAAATATATGTAAATCATTCTTCTAATAGAGTGTCATATAGTGTGTCATGAATAATTAAGAATAAGTATCTCCTAACAGAGAGATAAATTAAATAAATATATTTTTTTTATTTATTCGAGCAAATATAGTAAGTATATTTTGCAATTACACTATTACTACTTTAATTAGTAGTTAGCAGTAACTGGGACAAGTTCATGAAGTTGTTTTCACATTAGGCCAATCAGTCAGTGATTTTCTGACAAAAATACTAGTAGCAAACGGATTGTTCAACTTCAATTTTAATTTTGCAAATTTGGGCAATAGTGTTTTCGGGTATGCCCTTCTCAACTAAAATAATGGCGTCCACCTAACGTTTCTGGTTATACCGGAAGTCGTCATCTTCGTTATTTTAAATGGAACACCCTGTACTTTATTGCATTTTGTATTCTACGTCAATTTTTAGGTGAGTACAGGTTTCCTATTCTTAAAGTTAACCGTTATTGATAAAGCACTGCCTAATTCAAAAAGCTGTGTATTTTACAATAATAAAGTTAGAGCGATAAAATTTATGGAAGACATAAATAAAACTCTAAACTTCCCTGCCATAATTTCAAAATGGTGGTAGATATTTAATGCCGAATTTAGTCAACTATAAACCAACTTATTTTTCTTAAGTGGAGCACCCTGTATATTTTTGGGCAACCTGATGAACAATTTTGTTCTCTTTCAAATGATACCTATAATGGTTCCCTATACCTATCTCTTCTGGTTTTTAAGATAACGAGCGTTCAAATAAAAACGTGGTCGAAGTTGGCTCTGACACATTGGACGTAGGGAGTAGCTTATAGCGACCAACTTAACCTCATTTCTCAACGAGCTGTATAGCAGCTGTCAGTTTCAATAACGTTAATGACTATATAACTTTATTTTAAAGAATAATCGTGATAACAATAACAAACAATTAAAGGAGCTGCGGAAAGTGTCCCCCTCCTTGTTATAACAATAAATTAAAGCAGCTGCTGAAAGTGTCCCCCTCCTTGTTCCAAGCACTTTTCACACCTGTTCCTCAAAGAATTAAAGACATTTTCTAAGATGCTCAGGGTATTGTTAATTTCACGAATCTTGTCTATAAGTCGAGCCTGCAGATGGTTTAAATCAGGAATAGGCAGTTCAAAAATAGTGTTTTTAAGGTAAGGCCACAAAAAGAAATCATACGGCGTAATATCACATGACCTCGGTGGAAATTCATGTTCAGCATTGAGACTTATTAGTCGATTTCGGAAAACTTCCCTCAACATATTCATCGTCTCGCCTGCCATATATGCCCTTGCGCCATCTTGTTGAAAGTAAAAGTTTGTAATTTCGTTTTCTTCCAGCTGGTTAACAAAAGGAGCGATAATTTCTTCTCTATACCTTTGCGCAGTAAGAGTACCATTAAAAAAATAGGTCCATAAATCCTCCTTCGATTGAGAGCACACCAAACTCCAATTTTTTGAGCGTGTAGAGGGCCCTCGACAAAAAAGTTATCTGGTTTTTCAGAAGACCACATTCTCATATTCTGTGAGTTTACGTAACCACTTAAATGAAACCAGGCTTCATCAGAAAAAAAGGTGATATTATGAAGTTCACCGTAGTTGTTTAAAAACCATTCACAAAATACAGCCCGTCGCGGAAAATCAACTTCATGAAGTTCTTGCTGACAAGTTAAACGATAGGATAACAAACGCAAATCTTTTTTTAACACTGTGTGGCAGGTACCGACTGATACTCCCACCATTTGTGATAAAACACGTACAGAAGTTCTTGGCGCATTTTCCATTATTTGTTGGACATTTTCTTTTAATTCTTCAGTCCGCTTTTTAGGTCGGCCGCTTCCTTCTTTTCTTGTTACACTGCCCGTTTCACGAAAAACATTAACACAACGCTGAACTGCACTTTGAAAAATTTTGTACTCAACAACGCCGGGAAATTGATTTTGAAATTCTATGAAACATTCCTCAATAGAATACTTCCATATTCCATCAATCTTGCGTCCATTTCTACAGTAGGACTCTATGATAAACATTTTTTGTTCTTGAGAAAACACCATTTTAAACGCTTTTTAAAACGAAAATATTCAAATTGATAGCGGCGATATAGCGCTTTGACAGATGACGTTTAAGTTCATTTGCTATACGCTACGCCCTACGTCCAAATTTTCAGAACCAACTTGACCACGTTTTTATTTGAACGCTCGTTATTTACTGTTTTTCGTGCAGTCAACGGATAGCGCATAATTTCTTGCGAGGATGGCTGTGAAATTTTTAGTGGAACTTCAGAACAAGCACCTAATCTATCACCAGTGTATTGTTGTCAATTTAACGCATACAGTGAATGTTTATTTGAGTATTATTTATTGGTAATGAATGAATAAAATTAACATTTATTTACTGATATTTTAAATTTATCATTTAATCATAGAGAGTGTCACAAAATAATAAATAGGATTTGCAGGGTATTTAATGAGAGATATCCTCATTTACCACCAATGAGTAGACACATTTTTCGAAGAATTTAAAGAAATCAAATAGAACATGGTCGAATTTCTGCACACAGAATTTTGGTCAAAGCCGATAACTTTAGATGATCGTCAATGTTTTGGCACATTTTCATGCTTATCCTGAATCCTCAGTTCCTGCTGCTGAACAGGAGTTAGGCATTTCAAAAACCTCCATCCAAAATATTTTAAAAACTAATGATCAGCATCCATTTAAATTCAATTTTGAACCTACACTTCATCCCGGGGATGCTGAAAGACGAACCCAATTCTGTGAAATGATTTTAACGCGAACAGAAGAATGCAAAATCATTTGGACTAAGGTGCCTAAATTTTAGTAACGAAGGTATTTTTAATAGGCTCAATCGACACTTTTGGGCATCAGAAAATCCACATGTCATCCGCTAAAGAAATTTTCAACAGAAATTAGTGTCAACATATTTTGCTTAGTTAAAGATAATCAGGTGAGGTACTTTATTTACGAGTACAATTTAAATACACAAAGATACCTCCATATTTTGAGAAGCGTTGTAACAGATTTCTTAGAGGATCTACCCCTAGATCAACTAAGAAGCTGCTGGTAGACGTTGCTCCACCTCATTGTGGAAACGAAGTTTCCCGCCAGTTAAATGAAATGTTTGCAGACAGGTGGATTAGACGTCTAGGACCCTGGGATGGACCACCAATATCTCCAGATCTGTCACCACCAGATTTTTATATCTGGGGTGCAATAAAAGAGAAAGTGTACTCAACGCCAGTTTATTCCAAAGAAAACCTATTTGCCCGTTGCCCGTATAAGAGAAACGTTTGAAACTTTACCTGCTGCCCAAATATCTGGAGCTGTTACAGATGGGGTAACAAGAAGGAAATTAATTAGATTTCTGAAAACAATTATTATTCGTATTATGTAGTTTAATTCTGTTATATTATTAAAATTATTTTTAATTTATCCCTATAGCATGGTAGTCAATGAGTGCATCTCTCATTAGATACTCTGTAATTGTATTTATTATCTTGTGACACTCTCCATGAATAAATAATAAATTTAGAATGTCAGCATTTGAATAAATGTTAACGTTTTCCATTCTTTAACAATAAGTAATACTGAAATAAACATTCATTGTATGTGTTAAATTGACAACAATAAACTGGTGACAGATTAGGTGCTTGTTTTGAAGTTCCACTAAAAATTTCACAGCCATCCACGTAAAAGATTATGCGATATCCGTTGATTGCACGAAAAACAGCAAATAAATAATAAAAACCAAAAGAGACAGGTATAGGGAACCATTATACCATTCGAAAGAGAACAAAATTGTTTATCAGGTTGCGCAAAAATATACAGGGTGTTCCATTAAGAAAAAAATAAGTTAAGATGGTTTAAAGTTGACTAAGTTCGTAAATAAATTTCTACAATCCTGCATGAAATTAAGTCATTTTAAAATTATGGCCCCTATAAATTTTATCGCTCTTATTATTGTAAAATATATATTTTTTTTAATTAGGCAGTGCTTTTTTAATATTTTTTGAAAAAAAATTAAATATATCAAAAACGGTTAACTTTAAGAATAGGAAACCTTTATGAAAGTTCACCTAAAAATTGACGTAGAATCGAAAATTGCAAAAATATACAGGATGTTTCATTTAAAATAACGAAGATGACGTCAACTTCCGGTATAACTGGAAGCGTTAGGTGGACGCCATTATTTTAGTTGAGAAGGGCATGCCCTAAAACACTATTGCCCAAATTTTCAAAATTAAAATCGAAGTAGTCTCTCAAATATGTCTAATGTCTCGTCACCGTGAGACAACTTGTATATCTACAAATTGTCTTTTATATGATAGCACAGTCGTTTGCTACTAGTATTTTTGGCACAAACAAAACCTCCATTGATTGGCCTACATAACAACACTTGCGTTCTTTCAAAAATTGCAACTGTCACATAGAAGATGACATTCTTCGAGTAAAATATTACTTTATTTTAGTTTTCCAATATTTTTAATATGTACAAAACATGTTTTGTTGAAATTAAGTTAATTGATTACGAGATGCAAACTAGTGTTTTAATAAATCTGACATTTTAATTTTCATCACTTAAAACGAAAATAGCATTTTCCACTTAAAATAGAAAATAGTCACCTTTGTATCAACTAAGTTGTGAGGAAAAAGATTATTTTTGTTTGTCAAATTATAAACATATTTTAGAAAAG